AAAGTGCCCTTACGCATGCGAAAGTTTCGCAGCCACTGGGAATCGTCCCACACCTGCAGTAAGATGCGGTCCCACCAGTCTGTGCTTGTTTCCCAGGCCCAGATCGGGGTTCCACGGCATGAACCTGCCCCAGTGACACCATGATTTCCACATTGCTGGGGCCTGTGCCTTGTGAGATGTCTATGTCCATGGCAATTTCCTCATCACTCTCTTCGCCGCGCTGTAATCGCCTCCTCGGCTGGTCCGGGTTTTGCTTTGGCTTGTCCTGGCTCTGCATATACTCCAGGACAATGCGCGTGGTGTTCATAGTGCTCATAATTGCCGCGGTGATCTGAGTGGGCTCCATGATCCCAGTGCTAGCTATGGCGCCTGGTCTGAAAAAAGGCGTGAAACTAGTATCTGATGGACCAGGGTAGGGAGGGAGGGAGGGAGGGCCGAGTGACGACATGGCGTACAGGTACAGGGAATTAAAATCAAGAAAGGTGGCTGTGCATCAGGGAGAAACACAAACAACTGTCACACAGAATGCCCCCCCCCCAAAGATTAAACTCAAAACTCTGGGTTTAGCAGGCCGTTGATTTCACGGAGGAAGGGGGAAGCTAATGAATACAGAACAAATCTATTTTTTACATCTTAAGCTGGCAGCCGACAGTGCAGCATGACTGATAGCCACTGCAGTACGACGACAATGGATACCAATTGTAATATACCATCTTCTACCAAAAGGCAAGGGGCTGGTGCAATGCAGCCCTACGGCTGCCAGTCATGCTGCCCTATCTACCGCCAAAAGGCAGTTAGCTGCTGCTGCGTAGCAATGCAGTACCACGTCTGCCGGCACCCAGATGACATATGGTGACGGTGATCTGATCTGAGCGGGCTCCATGCTTGCCGTGGTATGTTGTCTACACAGGTAACCCAGGTAAAAAGGTGCGAATCTATTGTCTGCCGGTGCTCTGACGGATGGGGAGGGGCCTGACGACACCTACCCAGAACCCCCTGCTACACTGTTTTGCATCATTCAGGCATTGGGATCTCAACCCAGAATTCCAATGGGCGGAGGAGACTGCGGGAACTGTGGGATAGCTACCCATAGTGCAATGCTCTGGAAGTCGACGCTAGCCTCGGTACTGTGGACGTGGTCCGCCGACTTAGAGCATTTTATGTGGGGACACACACAATCGGCTGTATACAACCGATTTCTATAAAACCGGCTTCTATAAATTCGACCTAATTTCGTAGTGTAGACATACCCTTAGGGACCTAGGGCAAAATGAGTACTTGGTCCTGCTAGTGAAGGCAGGGGGCTGGACTCAATGACCTTTCAGGGTCCCTTCCCAGTTCTATGAGATAAGTGTATCTCCATATATTATTTATTTGTAAGTTGACCATATTTTTAGGCACTTAGCTATAAATAATGTATATGCAAATAAAAAACATGTTTTCACCTTTCATCCAAAAGCAACCCAAAACACTTCACATAAATACAATATATAAACAATTTCAACCCACTACTTACATGCAGCATCCTCCAGGATGAAACACAGCAATGTTATGTAATAGTTATGGTCAGGAAATGAAAATACAGTATCTAGCTGCAAATTTTATGCAGGCTTTCCTCTAGAGCAGAGACCAAATCTGCAGGATTCAATTTAGCAAGGGACACAAAATTGCATCTCAGCACTATTCTAATAATCTACCTCATATTTAGAAATGGTATTGCCAAGAGACCTCATATATATGAGCTGCTGAGATGTCCAGCGTGACCAGAATGGCCAAATGGCAGTAATCTAAAACCATCATTCATGGCTCTCATAAGCAGGGTCACTACAAGGGGATTGCTGAACCCAAACTGGAACGCATGTAAAGATGTCAGTAGTGCCTAAACCTTGAATGGAATGGTCACTGTTTTCCAAATCGCATCACGGAAAATGGGGAGGTAGGAGACTGGACAATTGGAAAAAATCTATAATCAAATGGCAGTTTCTTGAGGACAAGCGCTGCATGTTTGCAAAATGGTCAACATCCTTGCTAAGTGGAACACTGATAATCCCTATCAGCGATGATATTATAGCTACATCACCTGTTTTGAACAACCAAGATGGATCAGAGTCAAGTGATGCAGGCGGGAAACCCAAGACACCAGACAGATCAAAATAAGAAACCAAACTGAACATGACAGGAAATCAGGAACTCCTGACTCTTAGTTATAGACTCAGAGACCAATTCTGAGTTCTAGTTTAATGTTTTCACCCCTCAGCTAAAAAAAAAAAAAAATACACAACAACCAGCTGAAGGAACAAACATGGAGAGGGATAGGTGAAGAGTCAATCATGATTAATCAAACTGCTCACTAACAAATATTTCAGCTGGAAGGTTCCTTGCAATGTCCATGGACAAGGACAAGTTAGATCTCTGCCTCAGTCAGTGCAATAGTGTGCTTTCATAAAATCATTGCACAGAAGACTATCAGGTTACAGACGGCTCTCCAGCCATCTTCTCTCCAATCTGTGCCCCAAATCCTATAGGTTCCTGAGAAATCATTATGGCATCTGGGAACACAACGCAAAGAGTATACAGGTTGCAAGCATGCTCCAGCACAGTGGTCACCAACCAGTTGACCCTAGCGGCTCTCCGGTCGATCACAGTCTCTGGTGGCACAGTGTGGCTGCTGCTAAGGTAGCGTCCCTGCCTACCTGGCCCCACGCCGCTCCTGGAAGCGGCCAGTGGGCAGGCGTCTCCCTCCGCGTGTTGCTCCTGCCTGCGAGCACTGCCCCCGGAGTTCCCATTGGCCTGGAGAGCTGTGGGTGCGGTGCTTGCAGAGAAGGGCAGTGTGCGGAGGTAATTGCCCCCCAACCAGGAGCCACCGGAGGTAATTGCTGCCCAGTGGGAGGCCACACCCCAACCCCCAGCCTCCTCCCGGAGCCTGCACCCCATACCCCCTCCTGCACCCTGAACCCCAGCCCTGACCCCCCTCCCAGAGCCAGCACCCTGTCCCCCTCCTGTTCCCCAACACTCTGCCCCAGCCCAGAGCCGCCTCCTTCACCCAAACTCCCTCCCAGAGCCTGCACCCCCACTCTGCCCCAGCCCAGAGCCTCCTCCTGCACCCAAACTCCCTCCCAGAGCCCACACCCTGCACCCCCTCCTGTTCCCCAACACTCTGCCCCAGCCCAGTGCCCCCTCCTGTACCCAAACTCCCTCCTAGAGCTTGCAGCCCTCACCCCCTCCTGCACCCTAACCCCCTGTCCCAGGCTCAGCCCAGAGCCCCCTCCCACACTGCAAACCCCTTGGCCCCAGCCCAGAGCCTGCACCCGCTCCCGAACCCCAACCTCCTACCCCAGCCCAGTGGAAGTGAGTGAGGATTGGGGAGAGCGAGCGAGGGAGAGAAGGGGGATGGAGTGAGCAGGGCAGGGCTTTGGGGAAGGGTAGATCCTGGGTTGCCCTTAGGTTCAAAACGTGATCTTGTGCATAAAAAGGTTGGAGACCACTACTCTAGCAGCTAGTAGCAGTTGGTAAGCTGATCAATACCTGTGGCTAGCAAGGGGATGCTATCAGATATGACTTCGCACCAGAGACCAAAAAAAATCCACAGGATTCCTTGACACCCAAGTCTGAAGAAATAATGCAGCACTAATGCCACTATAGATGTAGAATAGCCCCCAACCTAAAACAAGTACCAATTAGCATGTTCATTTTAAACCTAATGGGACTAAAAAACAGTAATATAAATTCCCATTGTTTGCAACATTTCTCCGTCAGCTTATGTATTTTAGAAGAATTTCACAGAGCCACAGTTTACAAGGAAAAGTATATGAATAAAAAGTCATTACTGCATTTGTGCTTCTATGTCATAAACAAGTAGTGTGTCAGCATAAAATATACAGCTATTTTTAAAGTGGAATTGAATAATTTAGGCCTCAATCCTGCAAAGACATATGAGTATGTCTAGTTCCATTGAACTCAATGTGACTACACACAATTAAATGTAAGCATGTGGATAAGCTTTGGAAGGATTGGGGCTTAAATCATCTATGGTATGAAAAAGTGATAACATAGGACTGGAAGGAACCCTGGGTCGTCGAGTCCAATCCCTTGTTATTGCAGACCACCTCATTTCAATTACTTTAACATTTACTCAATTATATGTAAAACTACAGCACACTACATTAATGAGCAATAGGTATTTTAATCTACAAATTTCTGAATGTAGTTAATTTTTCATTAGAAAACTTGACAAGCATTCACTCAAAGAATGTATCAATAACAAATAAAAAATGAAGAGCATGTGGGTGGAATGAAATGTGGTTTAATCATTTAATGCAAAATTTGTGATGCCAGCATTCACTCAGAGTTTAATATCTGATCCTGTAACTCTATGAAAAAAATCTTGCCACAAGTCATTAAGAAAATGATTAATAGGAGTTCCACAGTTTTTATCAGACTATTCAAATTATTTCACATTGCAACTGGAAATTACTGTCCTTTGCACTCAAATGAAAAATTAATCAGTTATTTTTGACAAACAGAAGAGCTATGTAGCATCCATAACATTTTTGAAAGATTCAGTGTCACTTTAAAATCTTACCTTAGATATTTGTGCTTTAGCTTCCTCTACTGTCTTTTTTAAAACTTCTTTCATTTTTTCATTTGGAGCTTAAAAACAATAGATGCATCTTTAATACAATACATTAACATTTCTTGCTATAAAAATCTGCCTAAATATGCCATATATTATTATTATCTACTGTAAGCAAGTTAATTTAAAAACTACTAAATCACAAATCCAGAAGGCATCCTACTTAGTTTCACTCTATTTGTAAGTCTACAAATTCATAATCAAGTTTCTTGATTGTACTCTAAACATGAAACAAAAACACTATTTTACAATGGAGGGTAAGATTTATGACATGCACCCAGAAGGTCACTTTGATAGGGCTTTGCCTTTTAAATGGTCTTGTTATACTGAAACATCATGTAAAGCTTGACTCTCCTGTATTAGCTCTGGCTCATATTGTATGTTTTATTTTCTGTCAGTCTCTACTGTGTACAATTCTGAGCTATGCTTTTATGGAAACTAGAGCTTTGAATTTCTTGACCTTTAATGTTAAATGTGGTTACTTTAAAAAATAGAAAAAGAAACAAATAAAAATAAAAACAAAAGGGTCATTGCGCCTTCCTTCTGTTAAAGGTCATTATGGTGTTGGGCATAGAAACTGAGAACAAGGAAATGGTCTCTTCTGTGAACTCTGTGATTACATTGCTGGCACCTTGGCAGTGAGAAAACGAGGAGGAAGCTGCCTGATTTCAATGAAGGTAGATGAGGGAAAAGGAGAGAAAAGAGAGGGGGAATCTTCGTTAAATAAGGCCCGAGGCCATCTAATGAATGAGGAGAAAATGAAATCTTAAATAACTATCCATTCACTAAATGAGGCTGGGGTCCTATGGAAAAAATAGTATGTGATCATGTTATTAATAGCTATAACTAGGGGCTGAATAATCGTTGTACAGGCAACCTTAATTCTGAAATTTCCTAATTTTTGAGTACTTGACTTTGCAACCCTATTGTTCTTTTAACGATTTTTGTGTGGATGTTATCTAAAATATATGTTGAGGAAAAGCAGTATAGTGTTATTTATTCTTGATTAATATCAGCATTAAGTCAAGTCTAAATCCAAGACCTGTGGCAAGTCCCATTTCTTGTGAGATTGCAGCCAAACAAGTAGTTTCTATGGGTTTAATTGCTGCCCAATACTACTTGAGCTGCTTTTATAAATAACTTTATAATTATGTACTTTACAGGAAATGGACTGGCTGACAGATATTCCAATTGGCATAATTTTAACTATACACTAACATCTACTTGTTTTTCTCTTATTTAAGAGTTTTGAGATTAAATTATAGGTTTGTTGTTATGAATTCAACAGCATTTAGTCAAAATATCAAACAATTTTAAGTTCCTCATGAAACTATGTCTTAGTTATGCTCAGGCATATCTCTGTATGTTTAAGATGCAGTTACCATGTCCATTCCTTCGTCCAATTTCATCCTTTTTAAAGACACTTCCACCACTTGGTACACATTTATCTGCCCATTCATCCTTTAATTTCAAATCTTCAATCTGTTCATCTGCCAGTCCTTGCATATTAGGAGGCAAGAAGACACCATGTTCTGCCAGTTCCTCCATTTCTTAAAAAACAAGGTCAGAATTTAAAAGCAGAAAACAATGTTACGTCAAAGGCACTTATTTGAACAACAGGCTAAGTTTCAGCTTTTAGAAAGCTGCAAAGAGGGACTTTTGTAAGCACATATACAGTAGTGCCACCTGCTGTTTTGCTGCCACCACCTTTTTCTAGTGATAATTCCTAAATCTCCTTTGCTTAATTTCACATTTTTTGAGTAGTTAAACGAACAAATCTGAAAAATGGCACAACTATACTTTATTATAATATACAGTTTAATAATTTTTTTTTTAAATCTGATGTGGGAAGAGAACCTAAAACACCAAAGTATTGAAATTTGGTTTTGCCAACTTTTAGACTTCATGCTTGTGGCAAATGTTGTTGCATTATGATATCCTGATTTTTATACTGAAATGCTGTCTCTACGTTAAGTCAGGCCTGAGAAGTTTTGAGAACTGTTTTAATGACTGTAAAGTAACGAGGCATCAAAATAATATACATTGAAAAAAGAAAAGGGTTTTAACCCTACTTTGAAATACCAAAAAGCAACACAGAACCTATGACTGACAACAGAATTACGCCAGCTAAGAGAAACGCATACAAATGGGTATAAGCACTGATCCAGAAGCTAGAAGTAAGGACAGCACATGGCTGCTGTTCCCTACTCATTCACGAGCATGGATGGCAAAGATAAATGGAAGCTGCTTGTTCCTCTGGCCTGGCCAAAGTATCATCATCAGCGACTACCATGAGGGTCCCTTTCTGTGGTTAATTTTTAAGCTGCCTGAAAAATAGAAATCCCTTTTAATGAAAAACAGTTTAAAACAAAACAAAACTGCCCTGAATCAGGATGAAACATCAAAAATGCAAAAAAAATGTCCAGGATGGGTTTTTTGACAAAAAATTCGTTTCGGGAGAGCCAGGGAGTTCAGCCCTCCCCACATGCTCTGGGGTCAAAGAAGCTGTCTCTCCAGCTCCCAAAGCTATGGGGGGGGGAGGGGAAGGGGAGAGGGGGGAAGAAACAGAGCCCCTCATTTTGATTTTCAGCAAAACTGACATTTTCCTGCCAAAAATTTCAATTTTTTTGTTTTGAAAATCATTCCGATGAAAATTTTTGATCAGCTCTACTCTGTTCCCAGTTCTGCCACTGGCTTCCTGTATGACCTTCACCAACTTAAAAAGAACAGGAGTACTTGTGACACCTTAGAAACTAACATTTATTTGAGCATATGCTTTCGTGGGCTACAGCCCACTTCTTCGGATGCATAGAATGGAACACACAGAAAGACGATATTTATACATACAGACAACATGAAAAGGTGGGAGTAGCCATACCAACTGTAAGAGACCAATCAATCGAGATGAGCTATCCTCAGCAGGAGAGAGAAAATAAACCTTTGAAGTGATATTTTAACATGGGGAAATAGATTCAATTAGTGTAATGACCCAACCATTCCCAGTCTCTCTTCAAACTAAGCCAACTTAGTTACTCTCTCTGTGCCTCAGTTCCCCAACTGTGACATGAGGATAGCAGTACTTGCCTACTGCACATTAATAGCTATGAGGCTTTCAGATACTGTGGTAATGGGGCCACATAAGTACAAAAGATAGAATTCCCTGGTCGCTTGTGTGGCGTATGGATTTGGCTAGTACCTGAGCAAATACGCTGCACTTTGAGTCTGCTATTGTAGATCCTGGTGACTTGCTGCGTTAAGTCTTCCATGGAGATGCTGCATGTTGTTTCCAGCAGGAATTGGCTCTCGTCGCCACGCTTCACATGGAGCTGAACCATTTCTGCAGAGACAGAAAGGAGATGTTTCAGAGTAGCAGCCGTGTTAGTCTGTATCCGCAAAAAGAAGAACAGGAGGACTTGTGGCACCTTAGAGACTAACAAATTTATTAGAGCATAAGCTTTCGTGGACTAT